CCCCAGGAAGTTCGCCACCAAGTAGCTCATCACCAAGGCACGTCACCACCAGGTCAAACACAAGGTACTTAGCCAAAAAAATTTTACACATCCCAAAAAATGGTACGTGACCAAAAACGGTTACATCAATAATTATTTAAATAAAATAGTAATCTAAAATTTGGATTTTGATAATATAATGTTGATAAAAATGGCAGTAAAATAATAAATTATTTATATATATATATTAATAAATCAAGTGTATTTAATCAAAATTATCTTATATATTATTTATTAAATTTATAAAAAAAAAGCTATGGCTAAGTTTTCTTTACGGGAATAGGGTCTGGAATTAGAATTCCAACTATTTGGTGGGGCGGAATCAAAATCTCATTCCTTTTTATGTTGGAATGGCCATTCCCTGCCCTTTTCCTAGCCTTTTTTTCTTCAAAGTGCTGGTTGCGGGATTTGATTCTACGTCAATGCTAGAATAAACCAATTAATACACCAATGAACCAGCCCTCCATTGGTCCAAAAAATAATAGGTTTGAGTGTGAATTAATTCGGAGTAAGTAATAACCTAAGAATAAAATCAAAGAACCAGAACTAATATAATCAATCCGATAAATCTATTGAGTAGAACTGACTCGTCGACAAGGGTATCAATTGGACTGAAATTGATCCAATCCGATGCAATCTAATGTGAGTCAATTACAAATGGACCAGCATCAAAATTCCAATCCAATGAATATTTTGGACCGGTCCAATTCAATGTCTGGACCATTCAATCTATTCAAATTTATTTTAATTTAGATTAGTCTTAACCCAAACCTGATCCATACATTCTTATCTTCTATCAATAGACTCGACCCAATCTATTATAAATTCATTACGGATGGTATGGACCAGATCTGGTTAAATCCAATAAATACTTTGAATCATTAAGTCTGGAATGATCTAATTCAATATGCCTTGTTAATCCGTTCAATTCATCCAAATTAATTTTGGCTTGGATGATCCAATCCAAAACCAGTCCATTGACACCCCTACCAGTCGATAGCTCTAAATTTAATAATCATTTAAAAAAGAGTTGGATTAAAAAACGATCGGGCCAGAATGTGATTGTCATGCGATTGTGAACACTAATTACTGTCTGTAAAACTTCCGACATAGTCTGATTGCTGAAAGCTTTAAGATAAAATAAAACTTCCACCTGGATGCTCACTCATTCAGTCATTTTTCTCTTCGTCAAGACTCAAGAGTAGTAAACAACACCACATACCACATGGTGCAGCGACCAGCGTTCCCTACAGGCTACAGAAAAGTGGTTTTCCAAGGCCTCATCTTCCTTTTAAAGGAGGCAATAAGGGAAAAGGTCCAAAAACGGAACAGGTGAGAGATGACCCAGGTTCAGTGCAGCCCAGCTCACCTTCATGGCATGAATGAGAGAAAAAACTGAACCAATCTTTTCTTAGTTCCACTTTTCTTCTCTTTCCATCTGTCAACGGCGGAAATCAAGCCCTGAACAACCCACACGTAGGTAGCCCTCTTTCATTCAGTTACGCAGGATCCAAGACACCCACCACTGCTCCAAACAACCAACCCCAGCAGAATAAGTATAACCCACGATCACACCAAGATATTCATCAAATATCAAACCCTAGAGCACCACCATCATATCTCCCTACTCTCAGTGAACAACTAGTCAAGAACCAGTAATGGAAAACACCCACCACCTCAACTCAACACACCCCATGAGTTCAAACTTCAAACTCGTCTCTGAGAAGAACTCTAAACTTGAAACCCCAAAACCCCTTTCAATTTATAACCTTTGAAGTATAAACTTGAGCAGAATCAGCACAAGTAAGGAATCATGATTCCTTCTTGCTTCACCAACCCAGACAGTCTCACCCTCAACGCCCAGATGCCACAACATCTGATAACTTGCGTTTACAAAACTCAACTCTCCGACTCCCCTACTTTTATAACATTAACCTGGTTCAAGACTCTCTTTTCCCACTCCTTGACCATCCATGCCAACGATTCCTTCTCCGTCACTCTCTCTCTCCTCCCATCAGTCTTCCCATTTTTCCGAAACCGACATGGCTCAAAGTCCATCTCCCTCAGTCGCCACCGCCACCACTACCACAGAGTGAAGCTTTACTGGGACTTCACTCGGGCTCAGTACAACAGGAACTCGGCCGAGCCTGATTCAGGCTTCTACGTCGCTATTGCATGCAATGCCCACATTGAATTCATCCTCGGCGACCTCCGAGACGATGCACTTCGCCGCACTGGAGCCGTCCAAATGTGTCCGTCCGCCGAGCCTGCGTTGCTGCAGTCTCGTCGTGAGCACGTATTCGGGCGTCGGAGTTTTACTACTACAGCTCAGTTCTCGGGGTCGAAACATGAAATTGTGATCGAATGCGCCGGTGGGGTGTTGAGAGTGAAGGCGGATGGTCAGATAGCCTTGGTTGTGAAGAGATTAGCCTGGAACTTCAGAGGCAACGAGCGAATTCTGGTTGGAATGTCGGAAGTCGAATTCTATTGGGATGTTTTCAACTGGGTCACTCGGTCCCGAAGAGATGGAAGTGGCCATGGAGTGTTTGTGTTTCAGGTGGGAGATGGTGGGGTGTGGCCGGAGATGGCGGGTCCAGAGAAGAAATTGATGAGGAAAAGCATGTCATCTTCGTCATCGATGCTGTCGTTATCGCCTTCTCCGTCGTGTTCGAGTGTCTTGCAGTGGACAGAGGAGAGCAGTGACGGAAGTAGGAGCTCTTGTTCTTCATCCACAAGGTCTTCTGGGAGTGGAGGTTTCTCTTTACTGTTGTATGCATGGAGGAGTGATTAATATTATAAGGTTTGAATTCATCAAATGCATGCCACTTTGCCAATTATATATCTTTTATCTCAACAAATTATAATCGAATTCAAGGAGGATTCTTTATTATGAAGGATGTTGTGCAGATCGATTTCTCAATTATATATATATATATATATGTATATATATATGTGTATACATTCATTCAGATTCTATTGACAGAAAATTTTCAGTTTTGTGTGAAGCTAGCCATGCATCCAAAGGAACCTCCATAAGTCTATTGTCCAACTTTTCTCTCCACCACTGCAGTCAGCCACTACTCATTAATTCTTAGGGAAAAACTACTATTACCGATCAGACCCAATTCAAAAAATTCATTGTCAGACAGCCTACAATTAATATTGTATTCTGTAATGGAAAGTTAGAAACCCTCACAACAAGGCAAACCATGCGCGCATGCATAGTTCCTGCTTTTGGGTTGTTAATGGAGCTTTTTTTTTCTTCTCTTTATAAAAGGGATCAGTTATAGCCAGTTGAGGCTGGATGGTAGCCTCTGCATAGGCAGGAATCTCATTCCAGATAGCACGAGGAGCTCTCATCACTCTCTACCAGCTTTCATCAAGATAATAAATGAACAACGGAGATAATAAGGCCCACGCCATCATCATTAAAGTGAAACTTGACCTTTATAATAAGCCTGATAAAGGAACATCAATGCTGTAGCCTGTAGGTTTGATCAACTCTTTGTCAGGTTAAATCATAGCAACCAATGGGGCCGGTTCTGAGAAAGCAAGGCCGGAAGACCCGGCACCACAACCACCAATAGCAGAAAGCCAGAGACATGCATGATTTGGTCTTTGTTCTGTTTGGACTCTCTGGTGTTTTTATCACTAGACTCTGGTGTTCTTCATGATGGATCTAGTGTTCTTCAGTACAGACCAAATACTATCTTGAGAGGTTAATCTTTATGGTGGTCAGCCTAATAGAGGCCTTACCATTAAACTCCAATTTGAAACTTGGAAGAAGAAGGAAACTGGAATTGAACTTGTGATTAGTGGAAGCTGAGAGGTGGGAAGGCCTTATTTTAGTCCTAATTAACTCCTAAAGAACTCGGTCAAGCACAGAATCAGGCTTCCTAATCCGAACAAAACAATTTCCAGTAGTAAGACCTAATGAGTTATGAGCCCAGGAGTTCTAGATACAGAAAAACGGGTTACTCTATCAAGTTCCGAGCACAAGCATGAATGTCAAACTTATCATAGATTCTATATATGCTCTGGTAAAATCTGTGGAGGTTAGATGGTTGAGAGTAGTGGTGCGAAACAGTTTAAAAAATAATTAATGAATTACTAGAAATAATTATTTCATTGTAGAGATCCTTCTCCATCTTTTGGCGGGTCATAACTCTGGTAATTAAAGCATATTCCTATAGCTCCCTTGCATATGATGACGATGGTACTAGCCAACTCAAGCTATTATTATTGCACGACCCTTAGTGGACTGTCAAAAAATCACGTGGAAAGGAAACCGGCTCCAGAACCAACCGGGTTTGAGAATTTTACGGTATTTATTAAATATTAATTTGTATAGGAGACATATTAAAATGTATGTCTTCAAAATGTAAAGTAAAACCTACAATTTTAGTCTTGTTTGAACAAAATCAGCGTTCAGGATTAAAAAATAAATAAATACAAGTCCAACTACTTTTGATTTAATGAATATTTATGACATATCAAATCAACATGTTAGTAACATGGTGATTTTTTTTTTTTTTTTTTTTTTTTTTTTTTTTTTTTTTTTGTGTTTGGTGTCACACACCACTAATAACTCATCTTTTCTCTAAATTTGTAGTTGCAAGCGAGGTTCAAAGTATCAACACGGCCTGGCCGATACGTATCGTTCTAGTGGGTATATCGGGGGTCAGACCGGTTCAGGGGGTGGAGGAGCCCTAAACCAGCCCCCCTGAACCAGTTTCAAAAAAATAAAAAAAAAGTAAAAAAAAAAAGAGTATCAATTCGTCTGATATGCCCCTACCAACATTAGGGGTGTTCACGGGTCGGGTTGGGTCGGTTTCTTGGGATTTTCCCAACCGACCCGACCTGGTCGGGTTAGCTAAGGTGGGAACCGAAACCGATCCACTGACAGGCCAAACCGACCTGGTCGGTTTGAGTCGGGTTGGGTCGGTTTTCAGTTTTGCTCCTGTACAAAGCCAAATAAAATTTGAATTAGTTGATAATTTGATATTCAAGAATCCAAGGTAAATCTAAATTTAAATCAGGTAAAGAATAAAATCAATAAATTCTTCATGTAAAAACAAGTGTCAATAATGGGCCTTCTAGAGTAAAAAACTARGTAAATCTAGGTAGGTAAATCAATAAAATAAAAATTTAGAAACYTTCTAAATTCTAATCTAGGTAAAAAACTAAAAAAGGACACCTAATTGAATTCTAATTGTAATTGCCTAATGAGTCGGGTTGGTTTCGGTTTTCACGCAAGAAATTCGAAACCGACCCGAGATTTCGATTTATGTATGTGCCCAAACCGAAACCGACCGGTACAGATGAAAACCCAACCGACTCGGATTGGGTCGGTCCGGATTAGTCGATTTGATCGGGTTGAGCATTCTTATGAACAGCCCTAACTGACATATCGAACGTATCAATATTTTAAACCTTGGTTGCAAGAATCGATTCTAGAATGAATCAGCCAACATGCCAATGAGCCACCCCTCGGTTGGTCACCACATGGTGAATTCAGATTGACACCCCACATGTGCATCTCAGTGTATTGGAAGTATCTCCTATACTTGTCATGGGGAGATGTTCTCAATACACCGTTGGGATGTGTTGTGAGGCACATGGGGCACATTCTATAGGGCGCCCGTGTTCCATTTTCATGAGATAAATTTACTACCAAAACAGTGATTCACATTCCATAGGGCACATTGTATGGGGAAATATCTCCTATACTTCTAACAGTGATTCACATTTTTTTTCCTAGGATGCAGTTCATGCACTATTTTTTTATTTTTTTAACTGTCAAATCTGGTTGGACCAGTTGGATTTTTTCAACTTGGCAGGATAAATGAATCAATGCCTGGGCCAGGTCTAATCTCTATTGGCATTACTCGTATCCGAGCTCGTTCAAATCTCAAACAGATTGAAAATTTCCCCACACAAATAAAGGAAGAATTATATTAGCTAACTAATCAAATCAGTGTATTACATACCGGACGACCAAATTGGAACCCTGGAAGGTCATACCAAACAAACTTTGTTAACCACTCTAAAAATGGATCGGCATTTTATTAAGCAGACTGCAAACCGCCAATTAAAACCATTGAATCTTTTCAACTGGATGCAAAGCAGGAGATCTGGCTTTTGGTTTATGAAACACTAACCAGGTCCCACATGTCCCAAACCCAAGTTGGTATCTTTCAACCTTTTACAGTTGAATTTCAGCAAGGTTTGTCCGGTCCTGAAGACCATACACAAGTACCCAAACATGTAAGGGTGGTTTGAGGTTAGTAACTGGCCAAAACTGACAACCTCAGGAGTCAGGACTGGTTTCAGCATTTTCCTTTTTTGTTTTTTATCAATGTGCTATGTGCAAATCAGGGGGGCGGGGGGACCCACTAGAAGTAATAATGTCAAATAACTTAAGAAAGAAAAGACAGAAAAAACAAGAAACATAAATAGCTTATCTATCACAGTGAAAGGCCAGTACACTTGATCTAGTCATTTTTGTATACGTCAGTTTCCGATGAATTTGAGGATTACATAATTTACAGGTTGCTAAAACTACCAATTAGAATTTACAAACAATGGGTGAAACCGTGAAAGACCCAGCTCCAAGTGCTACATGCAGTAAAGGTGGTAACAGACATTACCCCAGCATTTCACTCTAGATCTTAGAGAACAATGGCAGGAAAGGATTTCTGTAGACAACCCCAAAAAGTTGTGATTAAGGCACAGTTCAGTAGTGTTTCATTCTAGATCCCATTATAACATACCATTATACAACTTTTTTGCAGAATAGTATTCACTCTCCATGCCTTCCAAAACTAGGAGTAAATATTTGTCCAACTGCTTGAAGTGCGGACACATTCCAACTCTCAACATGTCTAACAATCTGCCAAATGATGATATCACCAACAAAGGAATATGTAAAATGGTAAATCACACAGCACATTGACTCGAAACAATTTGTTGCTTGGGAAATGTTTTTCTTACTTTGAAATCAGCATTTAAATCGTAGACTGTATTTCCTTCTATTGAAATAAGGGGTCTCCAAGGAAGTTTCAAGTAGGTCCTGCAAATTAACTTGTTATCTAACCAGTATGGCAGTTATGGGATAACAAGAAACAAGCATATAAGGCACTTGAGGTAATCCAGCAGAAAACAACACACACACACGGGTAACAACAAACAGGAATGTAAGGAACTTGAGGTAATCCAGCAGAAAAACCAGACACATACAATTCAATATTGTTGTAACTAAAGAAGTTAGTTACCTTTTTTCTAGGGAGAGAAAATGGGGTTAGATAACCAATTCAGCTAGTCTGTCAAGTGAAGATGTGTCATTAAAAAGAAAGCGTGGCAGAAGAGTCATATGGTTTTTCCCCTTACGAACTCATGATGGGATATGGACAGTTGTGGAGTTCCATTACAGCATTACCACATGACATGAGGTAGCTAATAGCTATATGATGAATTTTGACACCAGATACATCTTCTGGATATTCAGAAAGATGTATTAGTGGATAAGATGCCTCTATGGATTTTATTTGGCAGGTTTCCTATAAGAAAATTGAGTGAACATTTTCCAACAGGTGTCATTCTATTAGTTTCCATACTAGTTTTATTCCAGCTTCACAAATGATGTATTGTCTGATAATGGGCATTCATGGAAAATATACTAGATTCAATTTCCACAATAGCATAATAATAGATTTCCAATGTGTTTCATTAATCATTATTATCTAATAGAAACATCAAGTTTACCAACCATTTATTATTTATTCTATGCGATAATATCTAAAACAACTAGAAGTCTAGAAGTAAAAGCATTGCCATTCATTTATATAAATAATTTTAATCATGAATAATAATTGAAGTTCCCAAAGATATCTTGCTTTACTCACTGAACTTGGGGAAGGGGACAACTGTAGTGATCTGAACACATTTAACAATGAAAGCCAGAGGTGGATGTCCAACTAGGATGCCACCCTTGTGCTGAATGACAAAGAGTGCTCTTCAGACATTACTAACTTAGATGCTTCTTTTAACATAGCATTTTTGACATTAAGGCTCAGTTTGGGAAGAGTACAGATACAAATATGTACAGTGAAAAGCCTTGTATACTGTATTTCTAAGCCTTGTATTTGCACTCTTCCCAAACCGAGCCTAAAGGAATTCTTGACAGATTACCTTTTCAATTTAGAGTTCCTAAAACCTGAAAATTTTATGTTGAAAAGAAAGATTAATTGGCCCATTTACAGATTTACAAAGAAAGGACAGGCAAGAAAGACAGGTAAGTATACAATGAAAAAAAAAAAAAAAAACATTGACTAAACACCTTAGTTTCCATGTTGCCAATACAAAATTCGACTCATATTTAAAACCCTGCATACAAGAGGCAAAGTATTAATATGGTTAATAATTTACCAATACTGATAAAACCATAAAAATTATAAAAATTATCATTTACCACATTCTGTGATACCAACGTGGCTTAATCATTTAGAAGTTCAAAGAAGGGTTATGAACAGGGAAAAGAAATCACCATTTGAGGGACTCTTAAGCTGAATATTGACCCAGAAATCATCTTAGCCACCACTTACAAACCTTTCTTCTACAATTTATTTTACGAAACCATGAAGTAAAATGCAATAGCTTGTTTGGGCATATAAACTGGGAACTGACTCTTACCCTCTTACAAGGGCTGAAAACATCTAGAGATATTAACGTAATGTCTCTAATGGTGAAAGGACAATCTACTATTGAGATCATATGGGCATAAAGTAGGATGAATGGTCCATGAAAGATTTTCCATATCATAAATAAAGCCAACTCCTGCAAGGTGGAAACTGACTGGTTGGTAAGGTTTCCTGCTGGTTGTAGTGGAGACTTGGGATCGAATCCCGCCTGCACCTGGGTTGGGGGTTCTCAAAGAACCATTCAACCTAAAAGCTTAAGCTGTTAAGTGAGGTCATTGAATAGGTTTTATTCTCTAACATGCCCCCTCACACAAAAGCCCATTGGGCTTGAAGCATGGACAGCTCAGGCCCACCCATACCTTGTGCTGAAAATTAATTATAATGGGGTGACGAGAATTGAACTTTAGACCACTTGGTATAAGTGGCTCTGATACCATCTCAAAAAACCATTCAACCTAAAAGCTTAAGCTGTTAAGTGAGGTCCTTGAATAGGTTTTATTCTCTAACAGGGGTTATGGGTTTGGGGGATGGGCTATCCACTGTTGTGTAGCCCCATGGAGCCAAAAAGAAAAGAAAAAAAAATGTCAGCTCCTGTCCTCATCTATGAACAAGTTTCAAAAGAGGGAAAAAATCCATGTACATGCTGTTCAATCTAACTTGTATGATGGAAGCATATGAAGGTGGATAACCTTACTAATAAAGGGTTTAAAGATCCACATTGTTGCATTAATCCTAAAGGCTTCTGTTAGTTTGCAACTTCCATTTATAATGAATCTCAAAGAAAACTATTTATTTTCATAAGTTATTTTTGTTGATTCACTCAAGGTTCCCCTTTGTCTTTCATAAGTTATTGTTGTTGATTCACTCCTAATTCTGGATGAAATGACAGGGAAAAATTGTTCCATTCTCTTTCTCAACATTGCTGCATATTTATAACATGGACTTTGAGATCCAATCACTTTAGTTCAAGTAAAAGGCAAGACTGTTTTTTTCTAAATAAGATTTCACATTTTTGGATACCTTCTCAATCTTTTGTAGTACAATTGATGGATGATCAAAGAAAGGAACAAGCAATTTCAAGTTGCGTGCATACAAATCCTTACCTGAAGGGCAGAAGAACATAAAAGTCAGCTGATTTATCTCAATCTTATGTGTTCTCTTATACACACTAAGCACCTTCAATTGTCTTTGAAATCATCAAATGTCACTTCAGAAGGGATGTACTAAGAGTCAGATGTAGATGTTTAGGCTCAGTTTGGAAGGAGTACAAATACAAATATGTACAGTATAAATACATATAAAATAATACAAAATGTAAGGTTTTGCACTCTACATATTTGTATTTGTACTCCTTCCAAACTGAGCCTGGAAATTTAATTCTTAATGCATATGTCCAAGATATTAGGTAAATTACAGAGTTGGTGGTGCTCAGTTAGGAGAGTTGGTGGTGGAAACAGTTGTCTAGTAAGACTGCAATCAGTCTTCGTTTAGATCTGAATTAAACAAGAAATAATGCAGAGAATAAAAGAAGGGGAGAAGAAGAAGAGAGAACATGAAGAGGAGAAAAGATTCAGAGAAGAGTGTGGGTCATGACTGAGATTGTCGCCCCACTCAACTATTTATATTAATGATTTAAAACAAGGTAAAAAACCAGTATTACCCCTACTGCTTACATAAGCTATAAATAACAGAAAATAACTACCAACTAATCCAGTTAACATACTAACAGCAATATAAATAGACATGCAGCAATGGGGACCACATTATTGTTCTACATCTCTACACTCCCCCTCAAGTTGGGAGTAGATATTAGTCATTCCCAACTTGCATAAGTCAGTCTCCAATTTGGTCTTTGTAACTGCCTTGGTGAAGAGATCTGCAAGCTGCATATTGGAGGCGATATATGGAAGACACACTTCTTGGGAAGCAACTCTCTCTCTGATAAAGTGTCGATCCACTTCAATATGCTTAGTTCTGTCATGTTGTACTGGATTATGGGAAATGTTAATAGCTGCCTAATTATCACAATACAGTATCAGGGGCTTCTCATAAGCAATACCCAGCTCCTCAAATAGGAATATCAACCATAACACTTCAGCCACACCATTTGCCATAGATCTGAATTCAGCTTCAGCACTTGAATGAGCAACAACATTTTGTTTCTTACTTCTCCAAGAGACAAGATTTCCTCCTACAAAAGCACAATACCCAGAGGTAGATCTTCTATCATCAACACACCCAGCCCAATCAGCATCTGTGCAAACTTCTTTTTTCATGTGACCATTATCCTTGAAGAGTATACCTCTACATGGACATCTCTTCCAATAAGCCAGTATCCTCTCAACTGCAAGTAGGTGAGTGGTTTTGAGAGAATGCATATACTGGCTAACAACATTGACTGCATAAGAAATGTCTAGCCGTGTTAGGCAAAGATAGAGTAGTTTACCAACCAACCGTTAAAACATAACTTTATCTTCAAGTGGCTCTCCACCTTCTACACTGATCTTATGGTTTTGTTCAATAGGTGTGTCAGCAGGTTTAACACCTAGCTTCCCAGTTTATTCCAAAAGATCAAGAACATACTTCCTTTGGGAAACAAAAATCCTATGTTTAGACCGTGTTACTTCAATGCCCAGAAAATAGTGTAGTTCTCCCAAGTCTTTGACCTCAAATTCTTGATGAAGTAGTTGCTTAAGAGAGACAATTTCACAAGTATCACTCCTTGTCACTACAATATCATCCACATATACAGCAAGTAGAGTTAAGGAGGAATCCATTTTTCTTAATAAAAAGGGTGTTCTCTGATTGAGCTTGCACATAGCCAAATTTTTCAAGGGCCTGTCTAAATCTATCAAACTAGGCTCTGGGAGACTGCTTTAGTCCATATAAGGCCTTATTAAGTCAACAGACCTCTTCTTGCAAATCACCGTTGAGGAAGGCATTTTTAACATCCATTTGAAACAATGGCCACGAGAAAATTGGCTGCAATGGATAGTAAAACTCTGATAGCGTTCATCTTTGCTACTGGTGCAAAACTCTCCAAATAGTTTATGCCATATGTTTGTGTAAACCCCTTTGCAACTAATCTGGCCTTATACCTTTCAATGGAATCATCTGCATTATGTTTCATTGTAAACACCCATCTACACCCAACCGGTTTCTTCCTTTTAAGCTGATCAACTAACTCCCATGTATTGTTCTTTAGAAGAGCATCCATCTCTACCTTCATTGCATCCTTCCACTCAGGTACTGACAAGGCTTCCTGCATTGTTCTGGGAATGGAAATAGTAGCAATAAATGCCAAAAAAGACTTGTAGGATGGAGACAAATGATCATAAGACAGAAACCTGGAAATACAATGAGTTATAGATGAGGTACAACGGTGCTTCCCTTTACGGACTACGATTGGAAGATCAAGATCATCCAATGAAGGAGAAGGCTCAACAATAGAAGGTATTTCATCTGTAGTGGGGGATAAAGGAATTGTGGTACCTGGATCTAGAGCCACAGAGGAAATTGGAATTGGCTTGGACTGTTGATGACCAAAATCAACCTGCCTCCACCGCCTGTGATACACCCTCATATCCCAACACCTTTGACAACCCTCCTCACTACACTCCCCTTCAGTGATTGGGACAAGTAGTGGAATTTCTGATGAATGGGACCCCATCTCACTACTCTCCCCCTGAGAAGAAACTCTAGGATAATACGGTACATCCTCAAAGAACATGACATCCATAGAAACAAATTGTTTCCTAGAGATAAGTTCATAGCAGCAATATCCCTTTTGAGTTTGTAGATACCCAAGGAAAATACATTTTGAGGCTTTAGGATCAAATTTGGAATGATGAGGCTCAAGGATCTGAACAAATTAAGTACATCCAAAAGTCTTAAGGGGAATAGTAAACATCTCCTTATTAGGATATAATAAGGTAAATGGAACTTTCATGTCTAGGACTCGTGAAGGAACTCGGTTGATGGGATATACAGCTGTATGAATAGCATCTCCCCAAAAACGTATAGGTGCATTTTAGTTAAGCATAATGCTTCTAGCCACCTCCAATATATGTTTATTCTTTCCTCAGATTCTTACTAATCACTGGACACCTTCCAAGGCTCTACAATCCCTTGGGCATTTGCTGCACTCTACCAGCAATCTCCAAGAACTAGTCGATTGACCTTTTTTGCTAAAACTTCCAAACCTAGGAAGTTCTCATGCAGTCAGCCTTATTAGACTCGCATGAGAAGCCCTAGGCTGGCTCTGATACCAAGTTGTCTAGTAAGATTGCAATCAATCTTAGTTTAGATCTTAATTAAACAATAAATAATTTAGAGAATAAAAGAAGAAGAGAGAAACGAAGAGGAGAAGATTCAGAGAAGAGTGTGGGTCATGGCTAGACCTGTTCATGGGCCGGGTAGCCCGACGGGCCAACCCGGCCCGGCCCGACCCCCGGACGGGTTTGTACATAGTTATTAGCCCACGGGCTTGACCTCGAGCCTAAAAGCCCGAGCCCGACTGTTTTACGGGTCGGGCTCGGGATTTGTCACAAAAGCTAGAAGAAAAAGTATGAAACTGCCCAGAAAATCTAAGCAGGAAACAGAACAAGAGAGTTTCTGTAGGTTTCATAGAAATGGGTTTCTCGAAAGAAAGTAAGATTGTTTGTCGTTTGAGTGTTGACGAGTGGAGTGACCAAGTCCTCTCTTCTCTCTCTCTCTTTCGTTATCTTCCTCTCTCTCATAGAAGTCGAACAGATTTCTCTCTGTTCCTCTCTCTCTCTATTCTGTAAGTCGATTCCTCTCTCCCTATCCCTCTCGGGCTTCGGGCTCGAGCCCAAGTTGTAGGCCCGTTGGTGGGGCCGGGCTCAAGCTCGGGCCTACAAAAATTTTGTTAATGCAGAGTGAAAGCCCGGACCGAGCCCGGCCCGGCCCATGAACAGGTCTAGTCATGGCTGAGATTGTCGCCCCACTCAACTATTTATACTAATGATTTAAAACAAGGTAAAAAACCAGTATTACCCCTACTGCTTATATAAGCTATAAATAACAAAAAATAACTACCAACTAATCCAGCTAACATACTAACAGCAATAAATAGACATGCAGTAGTGGGGACCACATTATCGTTCTACATCTCTACAGAAACAAAGAAGTTGACAAAATCTTGGGAGAAAACGAAATCAATTAGGATATGGAAGAGAGTAAGATTGAGAAGGTGAATGTGCTTAAGAAAACAGAGTCGTTGGAGAACATTGCAGTGTGCAATTTGTTATGGAAGGATTTTATCTGATAAACTGCTTAACATTGGAGGAGTTCTGCAACAGTTATATTGGATTTGGTGGTGGACGTCAGAGGAGTACAAGATAGAACTGGTAGAAGGTGATATATTGTGGATCAAATTTCACAATGCAGAAGATCTGGAGGATGTGTTGGACAGAGAGCCCTGGTCAGTTAAAGATTAACCCAGGTTATTGTTTTTGTAAATCTGTATTTGGTAACCTGGAGAGTCGATCATCAAAACTGGTTTTTTAAGACAAAAAAAAAAGGAAAAAAGAAAGGAAAGCAAGGATGATGTCCAAGGTTCACCTCACGGCTTCTGGGAGGGATTTAACCCAGGTGTCAAATCCCAATGGTTTGCGCTAAAAAAAATAAAAAGAAAATTTTCTTAGGATGGTGAACATTTGTTGTTGATAAAAAGAAGATTGAGGTTCATCCGAAGAAGACAAAACCGAGCCTGTAGTCAGACAAGGAGATTGTTCCCCAAATTACTGGTGAAATCTAGAGTGACAGTAAATGACAGGGAGTTTAGAATGCCCAAGTTAGAACAAGAGGGTGCGACACTAGCAGCTATGATGTCTCAACTAGGAAGTCAAAGTTTGAAGAGAGTGAAAGCTAGGGCTCCAATTTAGGATTGTCTCAAAGATCAAATTCCAACCAGTATCCAAGGGTTTGCGGGAGTTGACCCAAAACAACTCCCTCAAGTGAAATGAAAATTTGGTGCTGGAATTGTCAAGGTATGGGATCCTCCCTGACAATTCGAGCAGCGAAAGAATCCCTAAGAAAAGAGAATCCGTGATGTGGACAGTAAGACAAGTTACATGCAGTA